GCTATTGTTGTTGTTTTTGGTTGCACAAAACTGATGGATAGTTTGAATTCAAAATATGTTATATGGCGTTAAGCTTGAAATATATTTCACTTCTTCTTTTACAAGACAGACTGAGTAGTCGCCATGATTGTGTGGTAAAACCGACATATTCAGCTTTATAAAAGTACAAGTGGTCAAGTTTGTAAATGATGATGATATGATCTAATGCACTTCTGGAACTTCTTGTACGACTGCAATTCAAAGACGATATACCAAGCGAAATAATTACGAGGAAATTAAGAAAATCAGTTCAAAGAACTTTTAATGCTGGTGGCAAACTACACGTCGTATTTTCTACATGACCGGTTGTGATTCCTTTATTGAACGATAAAGTATCTAGAGTAGCTACTTCCAATTGATTGTATCTACCAATTCAACTACGCCGGTGGTGGAGCCAGATATACTGACCGTTGCTCTAGGAACTTGATTTTTCCTGCTCACTCGAGAACATCTCGCAGACATATGGTTAGTTTGACTAACTGAGTTTCATCACCATGGGACTTTGCACAGAAGTGCAGCTGGTTCAAGTTACCAACACAAAGATAGAGAAAGAAAGAGATCCAGAAGGAACTATAATAATTGGGAATGTGAGGGCGAGAGACTAGTAACATGGAAGAACAAACATCAGGGTTCAATGGATATGGAAGATCGGGAAGAGTGAGCACATTTGCACCATTAAGAAGGATTTTGAGCCATATCTTTAATGATCTCCAACCTTCGGTTCTTACTATTCTGAGGACCTCAACCAGGCAGTCGACATCTCCCTACATGGCTCAAATCAGCTGTTAAAGACTTCATAGACTAATGTCATATTTTTTGGTTTGACCACTTCTAACACTTTTCTAATCTGATCCTATGTCAGCTAACATTGGTAGTCAAGGAGGTCGATAGCTTAGCATACGCAACACATGTCCTAGTTATCACAATCCATTGAATTCCCTAGCACACTACGCCTTCCTTTAATATTACTTATCATATTATGCCAATTAACACACAGGAGATGGAACGCAGACATCTTTGCTCAAAGGTAGCTAACCTTTTCATATCATCCAATTTCAGTGGCTATCATCTGTCACAGCCATAAAGAAGGATAGAGCGAGTTGCTGCATAGGACACACGTTGTTTTTTGATGGATAGACACATATATCACGTATATGCCGGAGAGATGATGTTGTTCGTGTGCACTTGGCTCCCGAATGGAACATAGGGCTTCAAAAGCACATCACCATTTTGTCGTATTCTTTGTGGTCCTCTTAAGCTGGCCCCATGATTGCCCATGGTCTCCGATCTCCTCCATTTCACCCTTGTACACATGATCAACTTGTCTTTTCTCATTCGGGTTCCACTTCAGCGATGACCTGTACTGCTCACGATGTCACTCGACGGTATTCTTAGCGTGTGTCGGATTTATCTCCACTTTCTTCGGAATATTTTTTGGTCGATTTATTTCCAGAGTTTCTTGTGGTGATTTCTTTCTCGCCTGCTATTTGATCTTTTATATAGAGCCAGTAAAGTGGGCAACTGTTGATAAAAGTCTGTAGTGGCCTGTTGAAAATGCTCTAGGACAAAAACTGAGTCCTGGGTCAATAACTGGCTGCATTCCTACTTCTCTAACAGAAAGCAGTACACCGTATACAAGGATAAATCCTCCTCTGCTGCGCTCATTGAAGCTGGTGTCCCCCAAGGTGCTGTACTCTCCCCACTTCTCTTTTCTTTCTTTCTACATGACTTACCATCTTCAAATGACATTAATTTTGTCAAATATGCTGACGACCTGACAGTATCTTTGCCTATCAAATGTCAAAGTGACTGCTCTAAACCTAATGGCTTTCTGTCGGAAATCAGCCAGTGGTCCAAGGAAAACGGTCTTACCTTAAACCCCTCCAAATGCCAAACAGTCAATTTCACCTTTAGGCATAAATCCGACCTAAACAAACTGTTTGGCTCTCACGAGGTATGCAACATAGATGGCACTGAAATAGAAACCAAGTCGGAAATTAAATACCTAGGCGTCATTCTATCTGCTGATCTCTCCTGGTCGTCTCCTATCTTAGCGATTTCTAAGAAAATATTCCGTCTTACCTTCTACATCAAGAAATTAAAACATTCTGGTATAACCCAACCCTTACTCCTACGATTCGTTAACTCTCGCATTCTGCCTATTATTATCTATTGTTCCCCCTTAGTTTTTCCCGGGCTACTGAAGAAAGACTATAACATATTACGTAGGATGTTAAAGGTTGTCAGCAGGGTAAGCAACGTGCCACTTAACCAGCTTGTCAATATTCTGGTCGACAGGCACATGGACTCATGTGAAAAATGGGCCAAGTCCATTTTATCTAACTCACACTACCCTCTTCACTCACAACTCTCCCCCTGCATCTCATCAGGTAAAACCAGAAGCCTACATAGAAAACTATATGCTCGCACCAGCAAGTACAAAAACTCAACCATACCCTACTTAGCTCGTGTTCTGTGTGATAAAGAAAGCATTAGGCGTGAGACTTATAACTTATTAAATAGTCAGTAGAACAATTGGATCTCGTCTTTCCAACTCACATCATTTATAGGTACAACGTTTTCTTTCTTTCTTTTCCTATTCTCTCTATCTCTCTTTTTTTTCGTTATGTGCTGCTTTGTTTCTTTCTCTCGCTTACGCCAGTAAATATGACAGCACCTACTTTTCTAACACCTTCAAACACTGTTCAACTTTGGCTTTGCTACCGACATGCCAATATGTTGTTGTCATAATGAACTGAGATTTGCCTAATCTATGTAGAATTCTATTTATTGATAATGTACTAACTGGATGCAATACCGTAGTAAAAATGCTGAGAATTCCATTCTGTATCACAAGTACTGTTTTGGAATAAAGCAAATTAATTATCATTATTATTTTTGTGAGGCGGGCGCAAAGTTTCTGACTGATATAGAAGAACTGATCGACTTCACATTTGTGTTGCAAATCCAAATCTTATTCTTTATGCTACGGAGTGTACAAGATTTCCAAGCTAGTTTCAGGTTGATGAAAGCGTATCTTGCCTTTCCGATTCTAGGTGGCCTTCATATCTTCATCTGTTCCGACTGCCAGTGGTTGAAACAATGCTTCCTTGGTAGGTGAAGGAAGTAACCTCTGTTAAATCTCTCCCGTTGGTGGTGATTGATGCTGGTTATTGTCGCTGTTCGTTGGTTATCTTCAGCACCTCCGTCTTCTCAATGTTCACCTGGAGTCTTGTTTTCGCTGATTCTACCAGTTTGTCGGTTTTCACTTGCATGTATTCGACTTCGTGTGACATTAGACTGAAATTGTTCGCGAAGTCCAAATCTTCTAAAGTCTTCTCGCTCTTCATACACATTCTGACTCATAATCCAGTCCACCAGAATTGGGAATATTATTGGTGACAATACGCAGCCTTGTCTTACAACTATATTCACTCCAAATGCCTCACTGAGTTCTCCATGGTAGATCACTTGATGAATGGCATAATCATATAGCTTCTGAATGAGGCTGATAAAGATTTGGAGCACTGCACGCCATAGTGTTGAAGTGCTTTCCAATTTTCTACACAAAAGTGTTCTTGTGGCACACAAAGCCCAGTAGAAAATGCACAATTAATAGAAAAGTGAAAGTTTGTTATCCAACCAGTTCAAAACTAAAGAGATATTGTGCGATATTGTGGTGTTGTACAATTTGTAAAGAAAAAGAAGTGCAGTAGTAAAAGTTTAGAACTCAGATATATTCGCAAAAAAGATGGTTTCTCATGTACTCGACCCATAAGCTGCTTTATAAAATCTGATGATGCTACGCAAGGATGAGATAACTGAGGCAGGATTCAAACCCATTGGCACTCGACTTTCAGCTAGTGTATCCGCCGTTCGAATCCCATCTCAACTTTGGCAACCCAATAGTATAAATCGCCGACCGACTGACTAGGTTTCAACATAAAACTTTTACACAGATATGGAACAATTCAAGTTTTCACACTCTATAAAGCAGATAAAGTTAGAGAAAAGAGAGGGAAAGGAGATTCAGATGAGCTATAATGAGCAAATGTATATATATGCGGAAGAAAAAGGGCTAACATGGAAAAACACCGAGGGTTTAATGAATATGAGCGATCACAAAAGGTGAACGGATCTGTACCATTCATTGACAACGATTTTCAGCCATATTACCAAAAGTATTCAGACATTGTTTCTTGACATCCTCATGAGCTCTCCCCTCAACCACTTAGTCTACACCTCCCTACATGACTAACCAACTGCCAAATACTTCAAGAAGTGAAGCCAGGTTTCAGTTTGATGAATACTCCTAACTTTGATGATATAAGATGGTTGGAGGCAATCGGTAGAAAGTTTTGGACCTAGGTTTCGTGCTAGTTGGCACTCGTCAGCAAGGCGTATCTGCATATAACACTAGTTCCTAGTGTGATGACGAGGTCCAAGGCTTCCTGTGGATTGCCTCCAACTATCTAATATCATCAAATCAATGTGCACCGTGATGGCGAGCTACCTAGAATGGTGGCCACATTACAAACCTGACTGACTGATAGAATTCAGTCTGCACCAAAGAAAGGACTAGACACATCGCACTAGTTACTAGTGTCCTATCGAAATACCCCTAACTTTATTCTAACCTAATCGAATGTCAGCTAATACCGGTCGTCAAGGAAGGGAATAAGTCGGTATGTGCAGCACATATCCTAGCCATATCAATCGTTGTAGCTTCAGAACCTCATGGATCGATTCCCCCCCCCCACCTTACCTAGCACTCAACGCCTAAATCTCATTATAACTGACACTCTCGCACACACGAAATCTATTCCAGCTAACCGATTGGCAAGCATGAGACATAACTGGAAACTAATAAGTCACACATCGTTATTCATTGAATGAGGTATTAGAAAAAGAAAAAACAAAACAAATTTAATTTAATTTTCTTTATCTCCCTTTATTATTAGTTATGAATGAAAATAAAATAGAAACAGTAAAAAATATGAAATTACTGCTGGGTGTTACTGGAAGTGTTGCAGCGATTAAAATACCCAATTTGATAGAAAAACTTCAACAGTTGGGTTTTGAAATACGTCTAGTTGTTACAAAGAATGCGTTGAATTTTATATCCGTGAACAGTTTATCAATCCCCGTGTATACTGATGACGATGAATGGTCCAGTTGGAAGGAAAATGGTGATTCTGTTTTACATATTCAGGTAGGTAGGCTTAGATATTTTTTCGCCTTTCGTTATTCTCATTATTATTATTATTGTTCCTTTGGGTTCCTAGTGGAACATAGGGCTTCAACTACACGTCTCCACTTGCTTCTGTCTTCTGCTGTACTTTTCACCTGCGTCCATGTTAATCCATACTGTTTCAATTCCTCTTCACACTATCTCCTCCATGTCACCCTTGGACGTCCCACTCGCCGCCTCCCTTTAGGGTTCCACTCGAGCGTTGGCCTGACGCGCGATGTCACCCAACGGCCTCCTCAGCGAGTGTCCAATCCATCTCCACTTTCTCCTGCATATTATTTGTTGGGCGATTAGTTCTTGTTTTGTTTGTTCCCATAGTTTCTTGTTGGTGATTCTTTCCGGCCATATAATCTTCAGTATAGAGCGACGAAGACAGTTGTTGACAAAGGTCTGCAACAGGCTGTTGGAAATATTCTTTGTGACCCGCCAAGTTCCTGATCCGTATAGAAGAACTGACTGACTTGACGTTTGTATTGAAAATCCGAATCATTTTGTTGTTGATGCAGGCTGAATGACGAAGATTTCCAGATTGGTTTCAGGTTGATGAATGTGTTTCTCGCCTTCCCGATTCTCGATTTGACATCCTTATCGTCCGTTCCTCCTGTAGTTGAGACAATTCTCCCTAGATAAGTGAATGAAGTAACCTCTTTCAAATCCCTCCCGTTGATGGTGATTATAATTACTACTGTTATTATTACCCCACCCACCCCACTCTCCTTTTCTCTATCTCTTTCTTTTTAATCTTTCAGTTAAGAAATTGGGCAGATGTTCTACTCATCGCTCCAATGAGTGCTAATAGTCTAGCTAAAATGTCCTGTGGAATAGCCGACAATCTACTGACAACAATCGTACGTGCATGGTGGTGGTGGTCCCCGCCTTCAACCAGTGACAATGATGACAACAATAGCGGTGTATCAATAGGGCATTTGAAACCAGTATATTTTGCTCCAGCAATGAATACTGCAATGTGGCATCATCCATTCACTAGTGAACATATTGAAAGGCTCACGGAAAAGCTTCATTGGAAGTGTATCCAGCCAATTAAGAAAAAATTATTTTGTGGAGATATTGGTATTGGAGCTATGGCAGAAGTTGAAGAGATTGTGAATTGTGTAAAGCCTGTACTTGAAAAGTAAATACACCTGTATGTATTATTTTCATAAATTATTATTCTCCACAAAGGCCTTTTGATTCTATGCGTGTTTTTTGGAAGCATTTATGTATGTATGACGCTTGCCAATACTTTTCAGGGGATACGTAACTCCATACTGTTCGGTTGACGGGGGCTAAACACTGGAATCCAAGAGGCACGTTTTGTCCACCACACATCTCCTTCAGTGACTGATGAAGTTCCATGTGAGAAGTGAATCCAGTAACTATCGTTTTGAACACTTTCAGATATCTTCGACGAGTTCGTAATAGAAGGCAACATGTTAAAAGCGATTGGGCAGTTTATGTTCAAGAAAAATCAATCAATTTGTTTTGAGATTCTTTACTTTCCCAGTGGAACTTAAGGTTTTCACTCTTGACCTCTGAAGTTGTAGTAGCAGTGAGGTGGCTAGCCATACACTACACTAACCATCCCTTTTTCCGACCTAATAGTAAACTAGACGCGGTCTAGAAGTGTTTCTGCAAGGAACTGAATCCGGATCTCTCGCGTAGCCAGCGGTCGGTCGGTTTTCGACATAGAACTTTGCATATATGTGCGGCAGTTCAAGTCGCCACACTTCACTTAGCACACAAACCAACAGAAGAAATGCATAATATAGACAGCAAACAGAGGTGAGAGACAAAGGAATAGTAGTAACGAAGTACAACAAATTTTCATTGGAAATCATAAGTCACAAGGAATGGATGCATCTGCGCCAGACATTGAGAACGATTTTGAGCCATATCACCAATTGCTTCCAACCATTGGTTTTTACCGTCCCGAGAACCGCAACCGGGAAGTCTAAACCTTCCTACATGACTGGCTTAGACTAACTGATGTAGATTTCATTGACTGGTGTCATGTTTTCCTTTGACCGCCGCTAGCTCTTTTCCAGCCTGACCCTATATCAGCTAACATTGACCGTCGAGGAAGACGATGACTAGGCATACGTAACACATGTCCTTACCATCTCAGTCGATGTAACTTCACAGCCATGTCGACTGATTTCCCCTCCTTACCTAGCACTCGACGCCTAACCTCAATATTGCTCACCTTATTATACCACTTCACACGAGAGATAGAACGCAGACACCTATGATCAAAGACAGCTAAGCTTTTCATGTCTTCTGCTCTCAATGGCCAGGTCTCACAGCCATAAAGGAGGACGGAGTGGACTGTTGAGCAGTACACACGCCCTTTGGTCGATAACCGGATATCACATCTACGCCAGAGACGATGTAAACTGGCATATGCGAAACTAGCTCTCTGTATTCGTGGTGAGATTTCGTCGGAGATCAACCCGTTGGAGCTGATGGTACCTCCCAAGTAGCTAGCTGGTTGGCAGTCTACTATTGATATACAAATCAACTTAAACGAATACTTTACTCGTTTTAAATGTGCCAAACTTGACCTAAAAGATTCATTTACAAAAGGTGAATTTGAATTCTAGATGGACTATTAAACGTATTTCTTACTGTTAGTATATGTAGTAAGCAAAATTCACCCATTCATTCATAAGCTATTACAAGCATATTACAGTTCGGTAAGGCCTAATCTATTTCAGGTTTGGTATCACAGTTAGAGAACGATTGAAAAAACCAGCACGGAATACTGGGCAGCTGTTTTATCTCACTAGCATGGGGACTCTTCAACAGTACACACCCGCGACCTTACCTAAAGGATTGGATTCCTGGAACTTTCAGATCATAAGGCGAGTTCGTTAGTCATTCAGTCATGGGGTCGGAAGCGAATGACGTACCAGTTCTAACTTCTGCCAATTGGCTTGGTCTCATAACCTGAAGGTGCTTGGTGGGGTTGTGAATGCGTACTGATGAAGAGTCCCAAACTATAACGAAACAACTGGTTTCTTCTTCATTGGTTCTCTAACTGCTAACAGTCCGTGAACAAACTTGAAACAAATCGAATCTTTACATGCCAACTCTTCAAAGGGATGAAATTTGTGTCAATCACAACTAATATACACAAATGCATGAAGAACTATTGATATAAGGATAAAACTTGGGCACTGTGGCAGTAGAGTATAACTCCATTATGGATAAGATTTAATTTTGATAAATCACACAGTGGTGTACAGTAATATTCACTGATGACAACGTTTCGAATACAATTTATCATTGCTACTCATAATCATATCAAGGCACTCACTCACACAACTTTCTCACTTCATTTATATACATGAGTAAAAATTGATGATTAGACAATTGAATAAAATCAATATAAGATGATAAAGTACATTCGGAAATAATAATATTAGTGTTATCAATCAAATACAATCAGATGGGAAATAAGATGTTCTTTACAGTAAAATAAATAAATAAGTAACTTGTTAGAATGTTATAATGTGAAGTGAATTGAATGCATTTTAACATTATTTAGTATCCTCCTCTGATTTGACTGGTGGTAATAACATCTTCCATATCTCTGGTATTTGTGTTGAGTCACTTCTATTGCATGTGTTGTGTTGGGTGTAGACTCGATGAACCAGTAATCAACCTCTCTTTCTCCACCTACCTATATTAATTCTTAGGATTTTAACCCTATTGTGCGGTTGTGTTAATGCATACAGTGCTTTTTTCTAAATTACTTGTCTTCGTGGGATCAATCATTCTAACCTTAGCTAAATTCTTATGTTCTGATAATCTCACTACTCACGATCTACTAGTTTGACCTATGTAGTCGACTTAACTTACAGTCATTGCAAGGTATTTTGTGAATTATATTATTTTGTCTAATTGGGTCAACCTACAGGGTCCTTTAGCCTACAGAGCTTGTCCTACCTGAGTTAGTTTGTAGGCTTGATTGCCACTCGTATTCCTGTTTTATTAAGAATCCTACGTAGGGTCTCAGATGTCCCCTCCTTATCTGGCAAAACTAATGTAGATGCCTTATATTCTACCTTATTTATGTTATCACGATTCGTTTCACCATTATTTTTATCTTGCTTTTGACCTTTATTTGATCTTCCTCATGAAGAACTATCGTGAAGAAATACCAGTGATGATGGATAAGAGGAATTAGAATTTCACTAGTAAAACAAGAATTTCTTTTCTTTCTTTCTTTCTTCTTTGATCACGGATTGATATCAGTTAGAAAATCATTGAAAGTTACCAGGGAGTACTGGACAGCTGTTTCCTCCTAGTTTTGGGAATCATCGGCAGCACGCCGTACTATATCATTCAGCCACTGGGATCTGATTTAAAGGCCAGTCTATGAATTCTAACTTCAACCAATTCGTGAAATTAAGCACGACTAGCAACCAATGTCATCGGTGGGAAATCAATCCTCACACTTGACTGATTGGACCTCACTGGTCACGACTTCTCACTAGAACTCCAGGACACTCCATCCTGTAGCCAGTTACTAGCAAGCTAAAATCAAGAATTGGTAGGAGTTAAAATTCATGGTCTGACCATTGAATCGGGTCCCAGTGGCTAAATGGTATACGAGCTTGCCTTGTAACTGGAAGGCCCTGGGTTCGAACCCGCGTGGTGGGTGCGTACTGCCGATGATTCCCAAACTAGAATGAAATAGCTGTCTGGCAGTACTCCCTGGTTCTCTTACTGATATCAATGCGTGATGAAATCGTCAAAATAAATCTAATCCTTGCAAACCAACTATTGTGTAATTAGTGTTTAATTTCAAGAGCAGAATTTTGTCAATTTAAAGTGATAGTTAACAAATATAGGAAGAAAGAGTTGTTGAAAAGCAACACTAGATTAATCACTAGATATTTTTGAATAGAAATACTTCGCCAGCTATCTAACAACAATCATACAAAGTCAGTACACCTTTTCTTTGCATATAAGGTGGGATAAAGTTCATAGTTTGACAGTACCAATGTAAGGACAGAAGACAAGGGCCAGGCAACAGATCGTTCATTGAGAAAATCAACGGATATTTATAGATTTTTATGCACATTATTATTCCTTATTTTTAGCAGGGAAGCGAAGTCTTCTGATTGGTTGTTTTTCTGTTGAAGGTTATTCTGTCATCTGTGTGTTACTGTTTCTGAGACAGTCCGTTGATATATCTGTGAATCGTATCCGCCCACGCTACGTCTGATGTGATTGGCTGCTGAGTTAGTCTTTGTTCTTGTTTTTTTCTCATGACCAAGATTTGGGACGTAAACATTGACGTCAATTGCTGTCTACCAATTTTGGCTAGCAGACAGCTCTCACCACATGATTACTCACAACAAAATAGATAAGGTGGACTCCGAATTCAACGCTTACAAGTCAAATGTGTGTACACGGATATGCGGCTAGATATTCATCTACTAAACAACCAACATATGCAAAACAGGTTTAGTTATTACATTCAACATAAATGTTAAGTCAGTCAGTCAGTGAGTCACTTCTTCTATATATGCGTTAGGAACTTGCACTGCGTGTCATGAAAATCACTTTCAACAGCCTGGCACAGACTTTTATCAACAGCTGCCTACTTCACTGGATCTATACTGAAGATAAAATGGCTGGTCAGAAAGAATTAGCAGCAAGAACCAATTGCACGAAAATCTTCCGAAGAAAATCGGGCACATGCTGAGGTGATCGTTGAATGACATCGCGTGCAATGCAGGCCATCGCTTGAGTGGAATCCAAATGGGAAACGACGAGTTCAGCTTATGTCCAAGAGTGACTGACTGACTCACTGGTTTCAACATAGAACTTTGCACCGATGTACAGCAGTTTGACTCGCCACACTCCATGTAGCGCACAAACCAACAGAAGAAATGCATAATATAGACAGTAAACAGAGGTGAGAGACAAAGGAATAGTAGTAACGAAGTACAACAAATTTTCATTGGAAATCATAAGTCACAAGGAATGGATGCATCTGCGCCAGACATTGAGAACGATTTTGAGCCATATCACCAATTGTTTCCAACCATTGGTTTTTACCGTCCCGAGAACCCAAACCAGGAAGTCTATACCTTCCTACGTGGCTTAGACTAACTGTTGTAGATTTCATTGACTGGTGCCATGTTTTCGTTTGACCACCGCTAGCTCTTTTCCAGCGTGACCCTATATCAGCTAACATTGACTGTTGTCGAGGAAGGCGATGACTAGGCATACGTAACACATGTCCTAACCATCTCAGTCGATGTAATTTCACAGTCTCGTCAACTGATTTCCCCGCCTTACCTAGCACTCGACGCCTAACCTCAATATTGCTCACCTTATTATACCACTTCACACGAGAGATAGAGCGCAGGCACCTATGTTCAAAGACAGCTAATCTTTTCATGTCTTCCACTCTTAATGGCCATGTCTCAGTTACAGTCATAAAGGACAAAGTGAACTGTTGGGCAATACAAGCGTCCTTTGGTCGATAGTCAATCGGATATCACGTCTACGCCAGAGACGGCGTAAACTGGCATATGCAAAACTAGCCCTCTGTATGCGTGCTGAAATTTCGTCAGAGATCAACCCGTTGGCACTGGCTGATGGTACTTTCCAAATAAGTGAAGCAGTCAACGTGCTCTACCACTTCACTCCCTATTTCTAAACTAGGAGTCGGTGTAGTCCAATCCTGTAACATCACCTCACATTTGGCGGAAGTGAATCTCACGCCAAACATTCGTAGATTGCAGCTCAAGGTGTTCAGAAGACTCTGCATTTTGTCAGCGTCCTCGCCTAGAAGGACTATATCGTCTGCATATTCTAAGTCAACGAGATTATTCCTTGGTAGTAACAAGTCAATCCCTGAGTCTCTGAAGTGAGTTAAGCTTAAGTCAATTAGTACATCTACAATGAAATTGAATAGAAATGGGGATAATGGGCATCCATGACGGACACCACTTCGGATGACAACTCGCCGTAAGCCCTCACCTGGCTGCATGAATTTCAGTATTTTTCTCGGCATTCCCTTTACAGCCAAGCATCACCAGAGTACCTCTCGGTTGACAGAATCGAATGCCGCCTTTAGGTCAAGAAATATAATGATAGTTGGACTCCGGTAAGAATGCCTATGTTCTAGAATCTGTCGAAAGGTGAAGATATGATCAATACACCCTCTTCCTGGTCTAAAGCGCCTGCCTGGTTCTTTCGTGTTCGCACTTTTATGTACATTTCACTTTTTAAGATCGCTACGAGCAGGCGTTAATCAGCTCAACGCTAAACATCACAAATATAAACCTTTAACCTACCTTACTGTACAATGTATTAGGTCCAAAATAATTTTTAAAAAAACAAATCGATATGCTTTCTTTGACGCTTTTTATATATTCTAGGATAACTGTTATTTCATAAGGGAAGCGTAGAAAAAAAAGCAAGAAAGAAAAATCAGTGATGTATACAATGTAGGCGGCAACTATACATACATACATGCATGCATACGCTGTATTCTCTACTTTCTCCAAAATGAAGCATCCAAGGATAACTTTTGTAGCATTGTATCAAACCAACGTTTAATCACTGACATTGGTACAAGTGGATCAGAAGATGCAGCACTATCATGCGCAAAACTCGCCACATAATTGAATAAACTTTCAGCAGCGAACCGCGTGAACTGAGTCATTCGATCTGTGGAAATTGATTCTGGAACAGTATCTTCTGTTTGTTGAGGTAAATTTGTCAGCAGGTCAACAGAGATGCCTATTTGTGCAGGTACCATTCCATTGGATGACTGGAAAGCTGCATTATCACCGAAAGGATTAACACCATTTTGAATTTGTGTATCTGATGAATAAAAACAAAAAAGTAGGCGGATCACAATTAGCGCAACCTTGTTAATACTTTATTGAAAAAAACCTACCAAGCTTAATGCCTGTATGAGTAATTCAGTAGTCTAACGAATCGATTTCTATTCAAGTATTGGTTTGTAGGGATTTGGTTGATTGGTTACAGGATTTCATCATGAGCTGACATTGGTTAGAGAACCATTGGAAAACCTGGCAGTACTGGACAGCTCTTTCGTCCTAGTTTGGGACTCTTCACAGTACACAGCCACCGGGATTCGAACCCAGGACCTTCTGGTTACAAGGCGAGCGAGCTCGTAGAACACTAAGCTACTGGGAACCGATTCAATGGCCAGCCCATGAATTCTAACTCCTGCCAATTCACGACATGTCCGTTTGGTCGTAAGCATAAACGTGCGCGAACCATAGCGTGATCAGAGTCTACCCACGTGTTCCAGAAGGAGCGGCAGTCTTCTACTGACCCTCGCGGCAACGATATCCTATCGCTATGTGGTCTATCTGAGTCCAGCGTTGATTTGGTGATGGAGGTCGCCAGGTTATGCAGTGTCTCTCTTTGTGCCTAAAGTTAGTGCTGACTAGGAACAGATGATTATCTGAGCAAAACTGAAGAAGACGATCACCGTTGTCGGTTCGTCGGCAGGGAATTCCATACGTACCACCTACATACTCCTCAGTCTGGCACAACTTCCCTACTTGGGCATTGAAGTCGCCTGCTAAAACAACTATATCTAAACGTTTTGCTTTTTGCAGCAAATTAGACAGTTTCAGGTAGAAATCATCTTTTAGTTCATCTGAACTGCAGTCTGTTGGGGTGTAAGCGGAGACTGCGAAAAGGAAACGACGGGTAGCACTGACTTCCCTTCTTTTAACGGACCCATTCAGAAGGACCGCACTGGGATCCAGTCAAGAAGTGATTTTTCCGCCCTAACACTCAGTGCTACCCCTACACCTGCGAGTCCTCGCGAACTAGCTGAGGGGTCTCCTGATACCCTTAAAGTGAATTTTACATATTCACCTTGTTGACCAGGTGAGGTTAAGTGAATAACCACACGGGTCTCGTATGTGTGTCTCCGAAACACAACATACATCCATGGCTCGAGACGCCAGAGTTTTTGCTAGTGATGCTTATTGTCCGATTTGGCAGAGGATCCTATATAAAGTTGGAGAGGTGGCTTTAAGAAGCTGTCGGGGGTGTTTGTATGACTCTCATCGTTATTTGTGGTCACCGAGTGAAGTGAAGATGATGACTCTCTAGCCTGAAGAATAGTACCGACTGTAGTAGGAAAGTAAGATGATGGTGATGTGGGTAAAAGAGAATGATGCTCAGGAAGGCTTTGTGCGCTTCTGGAAACTCATACTGTGTTAACCGATTGCTATTCAACGGCTGAGCTTCATAATTACTATTTGCACTCAGTCGGCAAAAACCCTCAACATTAAATATGACAAGACAAAAGAAAATTTCATTCAAAAAACGGTATTGTTTCGAAACACTAACTTTGATAACCTGTGTTCGTATTACATATATATAGTTTCAGCACATCGACAAATAGACAGTGTCAGTTTATCTACGAATGGACTATTCATTTGATAATTTGGTTGGTCTGAAGCAATGGAAGCAACTGTATTCAGCTAAGATGCACAAATAAATTCTATGATAACTATGTTGAACTTCTGGATGATTATTAAGTATCTTATTATGAGACAATGCTGCATGCCAAGTAATCCACAACGGGAAACTTACGGAATCCTTCGAAGTGAGGACAGGAGTAAGACAAGCTGGCTGCCTACTATCACCAATGATTTTCCTGATTGCAGTAGACTGGATAATGCGACAAACAGCGATGGGCAATGAGGAAACAGGCATAAAATGGACTCACACAAAAACTTGGAGGACCTGGACTTCACCGATGATATATGTCTGCTTTCCCACAAACTGGAAGATATGCAAGTGAAAAGCAACAATTTGGCAGAAGAAGTATCCAGAGAAGATAGGACTTCAGGTGAACATAGAGAAAACAGAGGTGATGACGATTCCCGGACAAGAACAACAACAACAGACAACGATCAGCATAAATGGGAGGAACATGAAACAAACAACCCCTTTTACCTACCTGGGAAACATCGTTTCAACTACAGGCGGAACTGATGAGGATATCAAAGCAAGAATCGGAAAAGCAAGACAAGCTTTCATTACTCTCAAGTCTGTGTGGAGGTCAACAGCACTCAGCATAAAAAATAAGATTCGGATTTTCAACTCCAATGTGAAGTCAGTGCTACTATACGGATCAGAGACTTGACGCGTCATAAAGAGCACCTCAAACAAAATACAGACCTTCATTAACAGCTGTCTTCGCTCAATACCACTCAAGATCAGATGGCTGGCCAGAAAAGATCAGCAACAGAGATCTCTGGGAGCGAACCAACCAGGAACCGGTTGTGAAACAAATGGGCAGGAAGAAATGGAGATGGATTGGCCATCACTAGATAAGCCCTCCAAACGGAACCCGAAAGGGAAGCGGCGAGATGGTCGTCAGTGCAAGGGTGACTTGGAGGAGGTCATGTGAAGAGGAGATGAAAACGTGTGGGCAGACTTGGAGCCAGATGAAGACTCTAGCAGAGAACCGAACGCAATGGAGACGCACGGCTGAAGCCCTATGTTCCTCTAGGAATTAAAGGAAAGAATAATAATATTATGAGAAGTCTAGCCTTACATAGGTGTGCAGCAGATAAAAATGAACAGACTGAGTGAGGACTTTGTGCCCTTGCAATAACTCGTGACCTCAGTTTAACTTGCTTATATTGAAAAAAATATATCTGGAAATGTTTACAGCTTCTTCTTGTAGCCACCAAGTTGATGTGAAGTGAATGTACAATTTGCTACCAAGTGTACAGATAGCCCTTCACGTAATGTTTACTTTAAGAGGTGGATTTAGAGTCGATAAGATGCAAAACCAGGTGAATCTAATACACAACTGAGAATTCAAGACTGTTTACTATCGTTGAAAAGTACATTGCTTCAAGCTGTAAAATAGCCATTGAATTTAGAATTTTGTATACAGCTCAAACTATCAAAGAAATTACTGAAGGACAAAAAAATAGAGAACTCCAAAACTGAAATAAGTACCGAAAATCCTGAGATCATTTTTGAAAAACCGTCCAAGGAAACCTGAGGTTTCAGTAGTGTTTCAACCTATATAAACCGTCTACGTTTACAGACACTATCAGCAAATTTCGAGTTCATATACGAAACCTGAGTTTAGTGCATATTCATTTAATCCGATTCACGTTATTAGGATAGAAGCATTTTGTTGCCTATGTTTATCCTCGCGATATATATCTCTGCAGAGATCCAGTTTCTCTTTGAAAGCGTTCACCGATGGAGCTGTTACTACTGAATCAGGTAAGAGGTTCCACTCTGTGAGAGAATCCAAACTCCACACATTTAATTCGACCTCGATTTGAGCACCTTCTTGTGGTGACCTCGTAAATGTATCCTAGAGGGAGAGGAAAAATTTGTAAGGTCAACCCCCAAATCATCCTCGAATATACGGTAAGCCAAAATTAAATCGCCTCTCCTCCTTCTGTATGATAATGGGAAGAGATTTAAATGCTCCGTCCTCATATCATAAGGAAGCTGTGAGATACCACTAACTAATTTGGTTCCTACCCTCTGTACTCTTTCCAGGATATGTGCCTCCTTTTTGAAGCATGGACTCGCCGCTTGTATGCAGTACTCTAGATGAGGTCTGACATATGTTGCATGGAGTACTTGGGACATACACTCGTCTAATCGTTTGAAAGCCCTCCGAAGTGCCCATAGCATTCGAAAAGCCTTAGCTGCGGCTCGATTACAATTTCCCGTTGTTTGCAAGTCATGGCTTACAATAATTCTCAAGTCCTTTGGTCCCCTAACATCTGGCAGTTCTGTGTCCCCCATGGAGTACGACGTGTAAGACTTCTGACCTAGGTGCATTACGGCGCTTTTCTTGGAATTAATTTCCAGACTCCAAAGGTTAGCCCATTCGGCTAATTTATCAACATCGTTTTGTAGTACCAACTTATCATCGTCACTATTTACGGTTTTCCATATCTTAATATGGTCCGCAAATAGTGAGGAAGATGAGGTAAGAATTTTCGGCACTTCATTTACGTATAATAGGAATAGCAGGGGCCAAGTACAGTTCCCTGAGGTACTCCACTCAGTACTGCTTTCCACCCTGACAGTACACCATTAACCCCTACCTTATGCCTCCTATCCATCAGGTAGTCACTAAACCACTCACATAAGCGTTGGTCTAATCCGAAACGTTTAAGTTTACTAAGAAGACCTAAATGGGATACCTTATCGAATGCTTTACTAAGATCGATAAAGACAACGTCCAGTAGATGGTTCTTATCCCTGGCCTCGACCCAATCTTCCCTAGCTAACAGTAAGTTTGTCAAGCAGGATCTTCCTGGTCAGAATCCATGCTGTTCCACTGCCAGTAAGCCGTGTTTTTCCATATGAGCTAAGAGCTGATCCCTTATGAGTGTTTCCAATACCTTTGCTATAATACAGGTCAGACTTACAGGCCGGTAGTTAGATACTAACTGCCTGTTCCCATGTTTGAAGATGGGGCTCATACAAGCATCTTTCCAGTCCCTGGGTAGCCTAGCCTGGGTCAGAGACATCTGAAAAATCTCCGTAAGTGAAATGTATATTACATCCGCCAAGGAGATTAGCAATCTAGGGTGAAGTCCGTCTGGTCCAGGTGATTTACCTGGCTTCGGCTTAGACAGTAGTTTCAGAACCACTGCATCTTCTACTACAACTGTGGGCATTTTAGTGGCTACATCAGTGACCTCGCTACACCCCTGAGGGGTACGATTAGGCGAGAAAATATCACAAAAGTATTCGGAGAGCTTCTCAGCTTTTGTTTCGTCTGACTCGGCAACCTCTCCAGTGCTGCTAATGAGGGACGGTATGCCACTGCTAGTTTT